GTGTGCTCAGCAGGCTCAGTGCAAAGGGCAAGGCAGACCCAGGTGATTGCAGCCCGTGGTATAATTTCCCCTATTGACGTCAGAGCTGCTCCCTCTCAGCCTCTCTCCACGCTCAGAGCCTGCAGGAGACGAGCTGCAGAGAGAGCTTATGAACTCCCAAAATGTGCCTAACCTTTGCAGAACTTGGCATGGCATTCTCAGCTAAGTAAATGTCCATTTGTGAGTATTTTGGGAACAAACCTCCCATTAGCTTTCCGTGTGCGAGTCATCTTGCTCCCATTCTGCAAACCAACACCACATGGATTCTTATCAAAACACTGTAGCCTTTATTTGCTGATAAGTCAGTTCAGCAGGGACTGTTACATAAAACCACATTATGGCATTTTTCCTTGCAGAAAATCACCACATTTAAGCACCTTTTTGAGCAGAGAGATCTCTTCTGAAACCACCATATTTAAACTCTTTGCTGAGTGACAGCTCTGTGGAAAATGGAGCCTTCCTGGTAGGGATGTTGTGTTGAATCCTTGCTGGAAAGCCCTGGAAAAATGGGCAGGTAGAACTTGTCTGCTGCTGAAACTGTAGGTGTGATTTCTCATTAGGGTTCTTTTCTTTAAATTAGAGGATACTGTGAGCTGGACACATCTGTCTCTCCCCGGGTTTCAGTTTCTACTCTGTCTTGGGATTTTACCCTCAAATTAACCTAGAATTTCTTAGTTCCTTTGTTTGTCCACGGTCTGTTAAGATTCCTTTTTGTTCTGCTAATTTTTGACCACTCAGAATTAGAACAACCTGTGCAAATCAGATTATTCCCACGTTTAGTCCACAGAGTCTATTCCTTTAGCCTTGGAAGCCTTGGTAGCATTGAGTTATTCCCTATGCCTTGAGGTGGAAGCAGTGGTACAGATGCTTTGCAGTCACCTCTTAAAATCCTTACAGCAGAGGAGGCAGAAACATTTGCCTTATTTCTCCATTCATTTTCCTGATTCTTACCCCTTTGAGGGTTTGTCTACCTAATTCCTAACTCAGGAAATGACCTAGTTTAGGTCACAGGTTGGACTGGATGATCTCAGAGGTCTTTTCCAGCCGGGTTGATTTGTGATTCACAGCTGATTCCCTGTGAGAGTCACCCAGTTAGAGGGTTCTTTTCATCATATTTAAAATGATGAAATCCTGCCATCTGACCACCCCCCCCCAAACGTGCAATGTAACATTCCCATCAGGAAAGAATCTGAATCAGCAAAAACCCCCACAGCACTTCTGTTGTCTTAACTTGCAGTTCTTTACACTCAGTGACCTGCTTGGCAGAGTTCCCATCAGGGTCAGGGCCGTAGAATTTGTGCCCCATTTTCCAGTTTTTCACTTTGTCCAGCAGTGGGGGCAGAAAGGGAAGAGGGGAGAATTAATTTCTGCTATGGTTTTATATTCAGTCTTGAATGTTCCTCAGTTTCGTGTACAGTGAGCCCTTACAAATGATTAAATAGTGATGTTCTACTCCCTCATTAAAAAAACACACAGATTTTACAGATTTTACACATAATTATGTGTTTGCATGGAAGGGTATTTAGACCATGTCTCATCATCAGACAAGTCTGCATGTCTGAAACTGCTCCAGCAGCTCCATGAGCAAGAGCTTTTCTTGGGTCAGCTCCCTCAGAAACATCTTCTTAGACTCTTTCAGGAGGTCACCCGCTGTCCACCTTGGGGATAAATTATCTGAGTCCTTGGGGGTGTTTTTTTGGATGTGAACATGCACTTGGTGGAGCCTTCCAGCTGTTGGCTCTATCCCTGCTGGAGCTTTCTTGGCCACGTGTCTCCGTCCTGTTCCTTCCTACGTGCACAGGACCACGTGTGGCTGGGGGGTTGTGTCCTGAGCTGATATGGGAATATTTACTGTCTGGGGCTGCCTCCTCTCCTAGATGCTCACCCTTCCCACTCTCTAATGCACCAGTTCTTCCACTGTTCCTTCAGCTGATCTTCCCCCTCCCCTTTGCCCTGTACCAAAGGTGATGCAGCTCTTCCAGGCTCATCCTGGCTGTGTTTGGGATGTGGTGCAAGGTGACCAGGGGCTGGAGCTCCCACCCACAGGGATGTCGTGCACCGAACCCAGACACATTTTTGGAGCTCCCCTGGGACTGCCCCAGCCTGCTCAGCACAAGGGCTCTGTGCCCTCTGCCCTCACCCCCTGCGTGACCCGTGCTGGGATCGGCCCCTGCCTTGTGCCTGTTGTGTTCCTGTGACAGCCCTGCTGCTAATCCCCCTGCCAGGGACTTAAACCAGCACTGTCAGCCAGATCCCCCTGCAAAGGAAAGCTCTGCTGGCCCCAGGCCCAGCAGGGAAATGCTGTGCTCTGCAACTCCGGAGGGATTTACAGGCTCTGACCCAGCCTGAGAGTCAGAACTCATCCCGGGCAGGGGGAGGGCTTTCTCCTGTCCCACTGAGCAGGATGGCTCAGCCTTTGCATTTGGGGGGCAGGAGGGGAAGGGGGGGAGTGTCTTCCAGACAGCCTGGAAGGTTAGATGAGGTAACCCCTGAAGGTGTGACCTTCTCTGGGTGGCTCTGGCTGGGGGCAGTGACAGGCTGGGTGTGGGGGACAGTGCTCTGCCCTCCCTGTGCTGGGGGGTGACAGCCCCCGTCCCTGTGCAGCTGGAGTCACCCTGTGCTCCCTGCTGACGTCTCTGGCCGTGCAGGCACGTCACCCTCCGTGCCTGGAGCCCTGCCCAGGACCGTGCTGGGAGCTCCAGGAGGCAGCAGGATGTGTGGGAAGCAGCCACAGGAGAGGCACTGGGAGTGCTGAGCTCAGTGCAGGGGTGAGGCCCAGCACCGCTGGTTTCTGATCTCATCTTAAGCAATTCTGAATGAATCTTCTCTTAATTAAAGTGCTGTAAAGATCTCGTGGCATGAACACTTTTTGCATTTGTAGCTGGCCAAAGTCAGTGCTATCAACTATCCCAAGTATGTCAGAACGATGGGAAGCAAACTTTAGTCTAGAAAATCCAGTAGACGTTAATTTTCTTTTTTTTTTGTCATTTGTAGCTTGCTGCCTCACAGAGAAAATAACTTCACTAAAAGGAAGACAAGAGCGGCAGGGGCTGCTTTAGCTCACTAGAAATTTAAAAATGAAATGCACATATTCTTTATTTTTGTATTAATACACTGTAACTGCTTTACAGAGTCCAGCAGATCAGTTGCATGTAAATACTACGGATGAACTTGCCAAACTGGAGCTCACAAAACTAGTGCATTTATCCCAAAGCAGAGACTAAACCCTCTAACTCCTTAAAAAAATACGTTAAAGAACATACCACACACACACATATTGCACTTTTCTCCGTATGAAATTTGTACCCCATATACATCACACCAAAGTCTCTTCAAAGGAGTCTGTAATACAAGATAATAAAGCTAGTAATTACTCTAACAGTAGTGTACACAGTTCTCTAATGTTAGACAGGACAGATCTGAACAAAAAAAGCCACTTCAAAGGAGCAAGAAGTGGTGCCCAATGGATACTCTCTGTATGAGAAGGCTTTAGAAGCCTTTTAGTCTAATTGGCTTAAAGGAAATGACATGAAATGTTAAATATGCTCTTGGCTGAGGGGAAGAGCCAGTCTAAACTACGTTAAAAAATACTGCAGGTTCCCCCTGCCCAGCACTGCAAAGCTCAAAGGAGCTTAGACTCGTTGGCACATCCTGATAAACGAACTGCAGAACTCCAGAACGGAATTATTTTCATCCTTTGAGTCCTGAAACGTGCAGGATCCTGGAGTGGGACGGGGAAGGAAGTGGCTGCAGCTCTGGCAGTGCCCCAGCTCCTGGAGCAGAGGGATCCTGGGGGCAGCTTTTACTGCTCACTTCCTCCAGTGTTGGGACAGACACTAAAACCCCAGCCCGTGCTGGTTATGCTGTGGGGTGGGGAAGGAGGAATGGAAGGACAGGACTCTCTGTTTCCCCTTTTTCTCCCTCTGCAGCAGGGCAATGCCTGGCCTGTCATGCTGCAGGTTTTCCAGGCTGGTTCCCTCCCCTCTGGCAGTCACTGCAGTGGCACAGGGGTGTCACACTGACTGCGCTGGACAGTTCCCTTTGGAAGGGAAACCACACCATAAAAACCTCCTCCCCCTCAGCTACTGAAAGTGGAGCTTTCTAGCCCTCTTTACCTTGCATCCCAGCAGTAGTGTAAGGATGTGATCCCTCTTTTTTAAGCTCTGCTTTGCTGCTGCCTTGAGAATCTCTGTGGGATCGGAGGTAGAAGCTGAGGATTGAGTCCAGCTGCACACCTGGTCCAGCACCAGAGCAGGCAACAGGAGTTGTCTCTCTGTAGCACACAGGGAGCCAGGTGCCTTCTGTCAGTTGTTAAACCCTTCCCTCCTTCACATACAGTGACTGAAGTCCTTCTGTTCCACATTTAAATGTGGTCTTATTGCTGTGAATGCTGATTATCCACCTCCCTGCATCCTCAGGATTTGTAGTATCAAAGACCTTTAGAGCTCACCAAGCTTTCCAGCAAACACTGGTTGTTCTCTCCGTGTGTGATCAGCACAGTTTCTCTCATCCTTTGTGCTTTAGTGAAGCTGCAATTGTGCTTAATGTTTGCTCAGGAAAGGGCTGAACTGTCCACCTACTGTCCTGCCGTGTCCCACAATACTTAAAGGTTGGAGACAAACCCCAGAGTGGAGATCCCAACTTTCTGCAGATCCCTAAGCAATCCTCCTGTGATTCGGATTTCGTGACTGAAAGCTCTGGAGACACAACTGCTTGTTGAGTTGAGTGTTTCCTTGAAATGGCTGACACATCAACAGTTTGATGCTAAATATTGCTGTAATACTTTCAACGTTCTATATACACGAGCAATTAAAACACTGAGAAAGTTAAACATGTCCCACATGGTGGAACGTGTGCTCTGAAGGGACTTTGGCCACAGCAAGGATATAAATGGGGTATTGTCTACTTTCTTCAGAAAAAAGCATATAGGCCGATAAAGAACTGAAAAAGGCACAGCACTATCACTTCACAGGGGTGTTTTTTTTGTTTGCTTTTTTTTTTTTTAGCTCATTGTTTTTACCCTTAAGTTCTAAAACCCTAAATAATTGTCCAAATATACAAAGCTCAACAAACCACCAGCAACACATACTGCAAATTTCAAAACACAGTTTGTTTGCTTGTTTTTCCAAACGCAACCGAAGGACAGATGGATCCTTTCCAGCCACCAGAACTTCTCCAGGACAGAGCCCTCCTCAAGGCCTGCCTGCAAAAAGGGGGTGATTTCAAAAGCCACCCAGGTGGATTTTATTATTTTTTAATGCCCCTGGCTGCAGCTCTTGCTTTCTCTCCTGGTCCTTCTCACCTTCTGTCTCTCTCTTAGTAAATCCTTTATCCTCCAGGACTCTGATCCCCACCCAGAGGTCTCCACGAACCTCTGTGGTGCCCTGTGTGAGTTCCAGGTATCTTTTGACAAAGTCAAGGTGTCCCCACAGCAGAGATCCAGGTTCCTGGAGCAGAAGAGCTCCTTGGCAGGCTCGGGAAACACTGTTTGCTTGCAGGAGGGAGCGGAGGCTGCCTGAGACACCCGGTGATCTCGGACTTACCCCGGAGCAGTTCCAGATCAGCAGCTTAACCAGCAGCTGGATGCCAAAGTGTGACTTTCCCTTATTTCCACCTCATGTTGCCATCAGTGCAGACCCAAATCTACCCTGAATTTCAATGGGAACTATTGCTTTTATTGCCAAGAAGTAGGATACAGTGCACGCTCGCTCTCCTTCCTCCAAGCGAATGTTGGATGAACGCTGACCAACTCCCCAAATTTTTTAGAGGGGGCTATTTCCTTCCTCTAAAACTCACCTTTTTTTGCCTCCTTCTATGCAGACTCTGTGGGATGAAGCTGCACTCTCTGTTCTCCAGCCTCTGCCACTGCCAGAGGAGCCAGTGGCCAAACACCTCTTGAGACCTCCTGCTTTTTCTTTTTTTTTTCCTTTTGTTTTTTTTTTTCCTCCAGCCAGGTGGATTTTTTTTTTAGTTCCCCTGCTAATTCAAGGGTTTAAAAAAATTACCACGAATTCTGGGGTGGGAACTTAAAAAAAAAAAACAAAAAAACCAAACCCCAAAAAATTCACATGCTTCTCCCACTCGTCCTGTCTCGCACGTCGGCGGCACTAATTCACCAGGACGTAGCCACTGTGCTGGGGGTCTACAGTCTCCATCATTTCACAATCAAAGAGTCCAGGCAGCTCTGCCAGGGTTAGGGGGTCGTAGCTGGGCTGGGGCTCGGGGGAGGCAGAGCTGCCCTGGCTGTCGGGCAATGCTACACTGCTCTGGGGGGCCGGGTCCAGGGGGTACTGGCACTGCTCGGGGTAGTCTGGCTCGGAGGAGGGGACCACGGGCAAGTCACAAGTCTGATAGGAGTATTGTAAGGGCTGTGGTGGCTGCTGCTGCACCTGCACGGGCGAGGACAGCCTGGAGGAGCTGCTGAGCTGGGAGGGCAGCGGGTCCAGCGGGACCTTCTGGTACTGGCTGAGGAAGGGGTCGTATTGCATCTGTTCCTGGGAGGGCTCCAGCACAGGGCTCAGGGGCTGCTGCAGGCTGAACTGGGCCGGCTGCTGCTGCTGCTGGGGCTGCTGGGGCTCCTCCTGGCAGGGCAGGGGCAGCTGGGCTGACCTCGGGTAGGAGCTCTCGGCGATTTGCATCTGGTTGAAGTAGGCTTGGAGCTGGGACTGCTTCTGCAGGAAGAGCCGCTTCTGGTGCAACCTGGAGCAGGGGGGCAAAAACGCAGTCACAGCCCTGCCTTTGGAGCCCCTGAGGAGCCTGCACGAGTCCTGCAGGCTGGCACTCACACAGCCCCAGCAGGGAGGGAAGGGCAACATGGAAAACTGGGCACTCACACAGCTCCAGCGGGGAGGGAAGGGCAACACTGAAAAATCCCTGGGCAATGCTGCCCCTTCCCTTTCCCAGCCCATCAGAGCTGTCACCCCTTGGCAAAGGTGCAAAGATCTCCTTTTGATCACCTTCTCTATCACCTACTGATTTTTCCCGTGCCATTAAGTCAACCCCGTGCATGGTTTAATTCACTTTGCTGAGAATGAGACGCACTGGATTTTATCCCGGGGAACCCGGGGGCTGAAGATTAGCCACAGAAATCTGTAAAGACAGGGCAGGACTGTTACCCCCCTTTTAAAATAAGGACTGTGTCCTTACTACAAGTTTTGAAGTGAAGCTTTCCTCTTTCAAATGATTTCTAAACGGACAGAGATTGTTCCAGTCCTTTTCTTGCTCCTGAGGGCAGGAATGCCTTGTCTGCATCCTTGGAAAGGTTCTTACCTGTGCTCCTGTAGCTGCTGTTCCAGACTCCGGGGCAGTTCTTTGCAGTAGAGCTGGCAAGTGTTCTGAGCTTTTGAGAGCAGAGTGGGCTTCTGCAAGGCAAGCAGGGCTGGTTTTAATGGCACTTGATTTAATGCATTAGCCCAGAAAGCCAGAGAAAGACTGTCTGCCCTTCTGGCAGAGCAATCCAGCTGCCAACAGAGCCTCCATCTAAACCCAGCACAAGTGCTGCTTACTGGCTTCTAACCCTTAGACAGTATTTTTGCATGAGAGATTGTGGGATAAAAACCCAGGGAAGGATTTCTTCCCAAGTGAAAGAGAAGCTGCAAGCTGAAAAACTGGGGGGGGAAAAAAAAATCAAGTTTTTGTAAACTAAAGCAATACAAAAATGGGTTTAAAATAAAGGAGGGTGTGGAACTGTAAGGGGGGTTAAGAAGTGGCTGCTCAGGTGCTGATGCACAACCTTTATGGGGTGTTACACTAATAATATGTATTCCTAGCAGTTACTATACCCTAGCAGAGTAGGAAAACAGCAGTAATACACTCTTTGCATAATCAGGGTCAGTGTCTGACAAAAGAAAAATACAGTATAATTTCCAGTTCAGCCACTCTCTGCTGATTGAGACTGATTTTCCTGACTAAGAGGAGCCCCAGGGCCGGTGTGCTGGGCAGGACCAGCAGCTGGGGTCAGTCTGGGGAGGGCAGGGGTGGTACCTGCAGCCTGTGTTTCAGGTACTGTGTTTCCAGGCTCTGCCTTCTGGACAACACTGGGGGATGTGCACCATTAGGGAAAGCAGGGGAGGCCTCCTGCTGCTGCTGCTGCTGGGATGGTTCCTCCTGCAGAGAGAACAGGAACAGGTTGCATGTCCAGAAAAGGCTTTAACCCTTTTTCTTCAAGGATTCCCCCAGAAAATTCCCCAGAAAAGCTCCCCCAGAGGTTTCACAGTCACCATATTCCTGAATGCCTGACATGTTCCACCTGAAACAACTCCCTGGGAACGTATTTAACATTTCACTGTGCAAATCAGGCTTTTGCACTTCCTGCAATTATACCAGCCCAGCTCCACCAAGGAAAGGTGTTGCTGGGCTTTGTTAAATCTACAACACCCTGCAGATTAAAAGCAGGAGGAAGATGTTGGGTTGTGGGAAGCTGAAAGGGCCACTCACTGACAGCACCGGGATGGCAAAGGCTCGTTCTCCAGTCTGCAGGAAAGGAGAACAGGGAAACTTATCTGTAAATGAGCTCCTCTCAGGTCTCAAGAACACCTCATCCTCTCCTGCTCTGCCCCAAAGTGTTAACACCTGAAAGGTGGAGCTTGGTTTCTGCCCTGAGTACCTGTGCAGGGCTGTTCATGAGCTCCTGCAGCTGGGTGGCAGCTGATGTCAGGGAAGGCTCCTCTTCTGACCCCATCTGTTCATAGAGCAGCTGGACCTTGTTCAGTTCCAGGATTCCTTTGGTTCGTGCCAGGTTCTGGAGGTGCTGCCTGAATGCTACAATTCCTGGGGGAAGAAGAGTCGAGCAAAAAAACCCCTGGTCAGAAAATCAGTTTAATTCATGTCCACTGAGCACTGAAACACGAGATGAGGGGCAACCAAGTCCCACAGTGGTGCTTCCGTGCATGAAGGACATTCCCTACCGTGTCCAGGTGTAATTAGAATTAACTTCTGGGAGCAGCTGTAATCACCTTGTGTGAGGGAGGTGTCGGAGGCCCTCCGTCCCTCTCGGAAGCTGACGGGGGAGCGGTTGTGGGCCTCCCTTTTTTGGGAGCTCAGGGCCTGCATGGCTGGGTTGGCAGGTCTCAGCCCGATGAAAGGGGGGGTCATCCGAGGGGCCTGCTGGTTGCTCAGCACCATTTCCTTCAAGGAGGGGGTCTCTCCCAGGAATTTCATGTCCCTCTGGATGGATCCCATGTCGTACTCGGAGTCGATGCTGCCCAGGGAGGAGTTCTCACCCAATGAATACACTTTCCCTGTGGAAAAAAAACCCAACAACCCATAATAAATAATAAACAACTCAGAATAAAAGGCAAGTGCAGCAGTAATTTAACAAAGCACAGGCTCAAGCTACTCCTGCCAACAGTGACTATCTCAGAGGAAACAGTCAAAAAAAAAATCAAGTTTCATAAAGTAATTGTCGTGTAACACTTGCAGGATCAGAACGGGGATTTACTGCTGGGGTTTGCATTATTTTGCAGCAATCAGACACCCTGCAGATGTTCACTGGCTTGTTTGGGGAGTGTTCAGGGTTGGTTTGGTTCCCCCCCCCAGATAATCCTGGCAAGGCTGTAGCCTGCAAGGCTTATTCATCCTGCTGGGTTTTGGAATACCTGGGAATCCAGAGGTTTCTGTTTCCCCACCGTCCTCTGGCAGCACATCTTCAGGGGATGAATGATTTGGGGACATTCAGTTATGGGAAAAAGAACAAGCCAGTTTGCCAGGCTGTTGGGTTTGCACATGAGCTCAGCCAGCTGTGTATTTGCTGCTTTCATTTTTTACCCTCTCCATGGCAGGTTTTGGGGTGTTCTGCTGTTCTTCCCTTTGGCCTTTCCAGCAAATGCCAAGTAACAAACCCACGAAACTTGTTATCTTACACCTGCCACCCTTAAAACCCCACGTTTTTCCCCATCAGTTTATCAGACAGAGCACTGAGAGCAGAAAATGAGCCCTGAGATGTCCTTGCTGAGCTCTGTACCTGTGCCTGGCACCATCACCAGCTGGTTGGTGACCTCTGCCAGGGTGTGACGCCTCTTCCCAACACGAGCTGCTTGGAGGGCTGCAAACGCCTGGGCAGGGTCATCCTCTGCCTCCCCTTCTGTCTCTATCCCTTCATCAATGGACGTTTCCATCATGCTGCTGGGCAGGGACTGGCATCCTTTCCTCATCACCACGGGGGGCACGGGGTCCAGCAGGCAGCCGTTGACCTGGGTGGCACAGGGAGGACATGGACACCTTGGTTTTGGGCACAGAGGGCAGGAAATCCCTGCCTGGGGTGTGGGCTGAAGGCAGGGGTGGGTGTTTAAAATGTGTGAACCTCTCTGTGATGTTCTGAGTCAAGTCAAGTCAAGTCAGACTTGTTTGTCATGCACGATTCTCAACTATGTCCCCCGTGTAGGATCAGCACTGGTATTCCCTTAATATTCCACTCCCTAAGTCTAAATACTCTTCTTTCCACTGTATTATGGTTTGCTCTAGGGTTTTGTTTTCAGTTTCTCTGTTTGTTTGTTGTTGGGTTTGGGGTGTTTCATTTGTTTCGGGTTTTATTTGTTTGTTCAGGGGGTTTGTTTGTTTCAGGTTTTTTGACTGTTTGGGGTTTTTTTGAGTTATTCAAAACTTTGCCAGCTTAGCCACAAGTATAAAACATCTATGGAATGTACAATAACTTTTGCTTCCCCCTTACTATACCTCCTGTGCTCGTTTATCATGCTCAGATAAACACCCTGGGAAAAGCCAGCCTTGTATTCCATCCTGCAGCATTCTTGCTCAGGAGTAATTCCATAAATGCACCCTTTCCAGCAGAAGTGCATTTGATTAATGTTGTTCCTCTGCAAGCACGGGTTGCCTAGAGAAGTTTGGAATCCCCCTCCTTGGATCCACTCAGCTTGATAAAGCTTCAACCAACCTCCTCCAGCTTTGAAGTCAGAGCTGCCTTTAGCAGGAGGTTGGACTTGAGAGGCCTTTAGAGGCACCTTTCCAACCAAAAATATTCCTAGGATTTTAATTCTGGTTTTAATTCTCCACATCAGTTTGCCAGGAATCTTTCTGTACATTAACTAATTCTTTACCATTTGCAGCCTGTTTGGGTTTGAAGCTGCCACGTCCTGCAGTTTTGGGCAGGAAGTTTGTTCTGTAATTAGTGTTTCGTCCATGTTTTACAGGACAACACAGTCCTTTGGCATAAAACCTGGCACTGCTGCAGGTGATTTCTGTGTAAAACTGTAGATGAGCCATTCCTGAATTTCCTCCCGAGTTCTTTGGCATTTTGAAAACAGGTGTGTTTGGAAAAGAAGCTTCACTGCATCAACAGTGGCTGTTAACAAATGGTCCTGGAGCAGGTTATAGGGCAGCACTGTAGGGAAATATCTTAAAGCAGCAGCAAGAAACAGCTCTAAATGGTTTGAGCAGCAGTAAAACGATGATCCTTGCACTGGAAAATCCTGGACCTGCTGCCTCTGCTTTAATGTGCTGGATTAAATCTCTGAGCTTAATTCCCTCCTCACCTTACTTTCCATTTGTGACTTTTCCATTCAAATGCCTTGGACTGATCTGGCAGCAAAAGTGCTGGAAAGGAAGGGGAGAACCAATCCCACATGGGCAGTTGGCTCCCTGCAGTTTACCATGGCACAGGGATCAGAGCTTGGAATTCTCTGGAGGACATGTTCTACAATACTTAAAACACTGAATATTCTCAGGTCACTTGTGATCTGACACCTCACTAGTCACCAGTTGTTCACCTACTCTGGCCAAATTGCATCTGTAAAGCAAAGGGGGATGCAAAATAAAGTCTGAAATGGTAATTTCCAAATGCCTTTGAACTGCTTTTTCGCTTTCCAGCTGTAAGAGACCACACAAGGGGTGGGTTAAAACAGTGCTGAGAACCAGGGCCACGCTCCCAAGTGTTGGTAACTAACTGGGAGCAATAAAAGCTCCAAACTGGCAAGCATGAAATCACCCCCCCAGCTGGCACCAGGCAAAATAAATACGCTGAAATTCAAGTTACAATAGGATGTGATATGTGAGAGAACAACAACAGTTTTATGAGAACAATAACATGCTTCATATAAATGTAATTATTTTAAGCCATTTCCCCTCCTGACTGCTAAACTCCACTTCTTTGCTGCCTTCCTTGCAGCCTGACCTCAGGAAACAAACTCCAGTGAGGGTTCTGCAGGCATTCCCAGCTCCAGGAATGTTCCAATGGGTTTTGACAGTCAGAAGGTCCTGCTGGATACTCACCATTCCACAGGAAAAATTAGCAAAAATGTAACTTATTGCTGGCTTACTGTGAGACTGGCACAGAGAGAGGGGATTTTATGTTCGTGGTATTTTAATTGCTTTTGCTGGCAACAGAAGCTCCTGGTTCAGGTTCCATTGGACCTTCCTGTCCTCATTTGTCTGAATTTTGGGATGAGTAGCTGAGTAGGTTATTTAGACACTCAGCAGTTACCCCTTTGTATTAGAAGCTGTACACGAAGAGCCTTCAGGGCTCTTGAAACACATTTGAGAAGAAAATGGGGGGAAAAAAAAAACCCCACCACACTTTTGTAGGTTGGTTTTTCTTTTACAAATACAGTGTGGTAAGACTGGAATGTAAGCAAAGAACACGAGAGGCAGATTAAGGATGAAAAAAGACACGGCTGTGGAGAGTTACATGGAAGAGAAGTGGAAAAAGAATGTGGAATACCTACAAGTCTGATGCTTAAATACTTAAAATTTAAGGAAACAGGCACACCATTAGCTGTGCTTTGAGGCAGTAATTTAAAAGGCAACAATCTTTTTTAGCCTTAATGAGCAAAAACAGCAACAACAGGGCGATTTCAAGCCGTACCTTTGGTGTCTCAACTCTTTCCTCCTCCATAAATGCTGCCTCTCCCTGGCAGTTGGATGGAGGGAAGGAAAAGGCTTCTGCTCCTGAGGCTGAGGGGAGACCCGGGGACTGCAAGAGCCTTGCATTCTGTGAGTGCAGGTTCACTGAGGGTACCACAGCCTGGGCCTGAAGGGAAAGATGTGAAGAGCTCAAAAAGTGGAACAGTTTTGGGTAGAGAACACCACACAAAGCCACAAATCCAACAGCACGGCGCCCATGGCCAAAGCAGAAGCGCAAGATTTATTTCTTCACTCCAGAGGAATGACATCCTTAGCCTTCACACTGCAAAAATAAAGCACTACCACACCAAAACCCACACAAACAACCCCCACGTGGCATCCCAGCAGCTGCTTTTGGAAGGTGAGCACCTTCCAGCAGCACAGACAGTGCCTGGGACCCTTTGGGGCTATAAAAGCTCCCTTTTATACTCATGAGCACAGGGGTAGTTTCAGTGACTTTTCTAACACGCCCTGATTCCTGCAGGGAACTGCCTGAGGAAGAACAGAGCAGGCTGGGGGTGAAAGGAGATGTTTGCTCAGAGGAGCACTGCTGGAGGGAGAGGGGTGTCCCAGGGAAGGCAGGCATGGCACAGGGAGGAAAACAGTGACTTTTCCACTGTTCCTTAGCCTTCATTCCCTGGAGTGCAGCACCCACACCACTCGCCTGTCCAAAAGGAAACCATCAGCCTTACACAGGAGCTGTGGTGCCACCATGTGTGAAAACAAATTATCCTGCTCCTCGGGACAACTGCAAGGCTGTGGCTGAAGAAAAAAGTGGTGACATGGCTCTGAAGGACAGGAATTTAGGACAACACCTTCCAGGAGGTGTTCTCTTCCTCCTTGTTCTGGCTCCACCCGCTTTTAACACACCTCACAATTAATAATTTGCTTTTGAACGCTGTGACTTTCCATCCCCAGAGCTGCCATCCCAGGAAATGGTTGGTTTAATCTCTGTCAGCCCCGCTGCTGCTCCTGGACCTGTGTTTTCATAGCTGGGGCTGTTTGGCTTTCACCTCGACAGACTCCAAACCCAAATAAGTGTCTCGCTGCCTGCAGCAAATAAAAAAGGAGCAGCGTGGCTGTGATTTCTCTTGGAAGTGGAAGTGGAATCTGGGCAATTGCTCCCTGCAGCAGCAGCACAGGACCCAGGGGGCTGGGAACTTGAGAGAGTATTTACTTGAGACCACGCTAAGCCTGAGTCATCTTAAGCCAAGTCTTTCATGGTTCCAGTTATGCACTAACAGAGGAGCTGTACAATGCCTGTGTATCTCAATGAAACAAAAGAACACGTTAAAAAAAATATTACAAAAAAAAATCACAATTATTGGGATAAACTGGACCTTTCCTTCTGGAAGAAGCTGGCTGAGCAGCCTCAGAGCCTGTGCTGAATCAGGCAGTGTCATTAGGAGGGGACTAAGTGGACAGCCATGCAGTGGCACCAGATGTAAAGAGCCCCCAGAACTGCTCTTGATAAAATACACATGACATCCTCAAGACTTAAATCAATTAGTCACCACGTTGGCTCTGTGCACACAGAGGAAACTGGGCTCCTGCTGGAGGAAAAAGCAGTGGAAATCTTAAAAAGAAATTACTTCATTTAGGAACAAATCTCTCAGTCTTCAGCCATTAAGTGGCTCAAGATAATGACATTTTTATCAGGTACTTAAGATACTACAATGAACTGGCATCTTAACCTGATGTGTTTTCTTTTGGGCTCCTCTTCACTACTCCTTGCCACGCCTCATTTCAGGGGAGACAGAAAGCATAGCTAGAGAACAGCAGGGGAGAAAGTGATTTTATTTTCAACAGGTCCCTTTAGAGTGACTGTGTTTATAACACTAAGTGGAGCCTGCCTGCTTTTAGCCCCCATGCTAACACAGCCCTCCATAAACTCAACAGCTCATTTGGTAATCACATTAAAGATACTCCAAGAGTTGCACAGCCTCCAGAACTGGTGTTCCTCTAACTCTTTTGCCAGCAAAAGGTTTGAAATTCACACAAAAAAAGGGAAGCAAATGTGACTGGAATAAAAAAAAAGTGGGGTCTGAGGTCAAACCACGCGGGTGCCCGGCAGAGCAGACTGAAACCACACGCTGCAGAAATCAGAAACATGGCAGCGGATTCCAGGTGAACTGCAGGGTTTTTGGAAAGGGAGTGATGCCTCCAGGGCCCCCCTCACCTTGGCCATGGTCTGCTCGGCGATGGTGCTGGGCCGGCGCTGCCGCGCGTCCACCCTCTGCTCCACCGGGAAGCTGCTCCGGTGAGACTTGAGCCTCTCCACCAGCAGGTAATAGATGGCAGCAAAGTGGTTGTAGCTCTTGTTCTGCAGGGACTGAAAAAGAGAGGCACACGAGTGTGGGGGCAGCCAAATACTTGTTGGGGTTTTTTTATGTTCTGCAAGACCAGGAGAAAGAAAGAAAGAATCGCTGGGGGGGATATTTAAGAGGCAGTGGGGTGGGTAAGCTGAGTTGTTCTGAACTAGGAAGGTTTCAAAGCAGAGTTTAGTTCAGTGACACATTCTGGGCTCCAGCAGGACTCGTAGCCACCATTCAGGTGCCACTCTGAGCCTTCACAGAGCTGAGCCTGGAGAAAGGACTGAGCTCCTCCATGATCAACCACCCTAAAGGAAATGACTGTGTTAACTCCACGGGGAGCCTTGGCATTTATGTTTGGTAACAAGCACGACTTGGGATAGGGCAGAGACACTCAGCTGCCTTCTGCTTTCATGCTCCTTTTTGATTTTCATTTACCACCCTCTTAAAAGCTCAAAATTAATTTGCTTCCAATTCCAATTTCCCCTCCTCTCTCTCCAGCTGCCAAGTTAATGGTTTGTCCTGCCCCACTCAGGAAATAGCCCTTTGGGTGTATTTTACCTCCACAGTTTTCTGCTGGTCTATGCCAAGGCTGTGCATCAGCCTCAGGACCTGCTCGTTGTACTCCCCGAGGGAAGGCTCGTTCTCCTCTCCTGGTGGGTAAAGAATTGGCCTCTGGGCAGGAACTTCTACAAGCATCCACTTGTGCTCCTTAATCTGAGCAATAGTCAACCTTTTGGAGGGGTCCAGGACCAGCATTCTTCTAATCAGGTGCTCACACTCTTGGGAAAAGAAGAATTACCAGTGTTAGAAAAGGATTGCTCAGTGGCACCCAAGATTCAGCACTAGAGATGCCAACAGAAGATGTCTCACTGCTGCCCAACACAGTCCTGAGGGCTCAGACAACCCCTAAAACAAGAGTGAAAGTCACATTAAGAAGGAGAAAAGCCCTTCAGCTTCTTTAAATGCACAGTGTGGCCAACTAGAGGCACAGCCCCACATGTGCAGCTGCACCACAACACAACACAGGCTGTCCTGGGATTTATTCAAGAGTGTAAGAGGACACACAGTTACCTTCTGACATAAAATAGGGGATCCTGAACCTTCCTTCCAGAACTCTTTGCCTCAGGATGGGGAGGGTTGGTCCATCAAAAGGTAAAGCTCCACACACCAGCACGTAGAGCACCACCCCCATGCTCTGGAAGAGAGAGGGAATATTCAGGTCAGTTCTCAAGCTCATTCCTGCAAGAGTGCAGGTCAACTGGCACTGCCAGTGGAAAGGGTCTTGCAGGATATGCCAAAAAAACCACTACATGAGATAACCACAGCAGAGCCTTGTGCCAGTCAGACTGACACAGCACTGGCACAGACTGACTCAGACTGGATTTCTCAAGGGGGGGGAAAAAGCAGGTAATTCACCTTAAAACTTTGCCAGTGGGACAGAGATTTTTAAAATTAAATATATATATATATATACATTTTTAAAAGTCCCTTCCTTAACCTGCCAAAAACTGAACTGGGGGTTGTTCCATCCCTCCTGCAAGCTCAGCACCTTCAGCAGAAATGCTGTGAAGAGACAGAGAATCCTTAACTCAGGACAGAATTGAGGATGATGATGATGATGATTTTATCCACTTCTCTGTGGGCAGCCAGATTCTGTTAATGATTTAAGAACTTAAATATAGAAGGAATATTTACCAAAGTTCAGAGATTCCCTTCTGATGTTCAAACAGTGCCTGGCTGACGTCTGCTCTGTGTTTACCCGTTGCTAAAGGTTCAGAAAGGCTGGAGCCTTTCTAAAATCCACCTCTCTCTAGGTATACACGGAGATACAAGCACACAGACAAACACATGTACCCTAAAAGCACGGCTTTTCTCTGGCACTGCAATTAGATGCAATCAGATTAGCAGCCAAAAGGTGACTTTCCACCAAGTGCCCTGTTTGTGCAGCCCAAGTGTCAGTGCCTGTGTGATGCTGTGGGCAGTGCTCTCCCTGCAAACCTGATGTGCTGCCTGGGCTCACTCTGAGATACCCATCAGTCGTCCCAAGTGCCAGAAAAGTAAAATAAAAAACGAAAAAGCCCCCAACAAAACCAAATTAGGGATGACAAGCAGGCTCTGAAGGGTGCACAGAACTCCTGCAGTTGGTTTCAGTCCCTTTTCCGTTGCACAGGAGCAGGGATTGCCCTCTCTGTCCTCTCCAATCAGGATGATACACATGGAGACACCAACTCAAAACCAGGCAGCTCCTGCAGTAAAGATATTTGTGGCACAAACCTTGTTTCCAGCTCCAAGAGCAAAGCAAAGAGTCACCTCTCCTGTGCCTCAGTGCCTGAGAGTCCCTTTAACCTCCTCAAGGACTTCCAAGTTCAAGTCCCACTTAATACAGAAAATACTAAATGCACTGGAAAAAAAAAAAGTAAAGTTCCCTCATTCACTCAGGGAGCTTTTGGAGGAGCTTTTCCTCAGTGGGCTGACACCCACCTGCAATGCCCATTTAACAGCCACCTGGACAGGTAAACTCAATTCCACTCAGTGCTAAAAAGCATTTTGTGACACTCAAGAAATAAACCTGAAGAGAAACAGCTCGTCTGCAGCTTAAAAAAAAAAAATATAAACCACCAAAGATGATTCCTTTGTTCCAGCTTTCTAAAAGTTGATTTAAACCAGTTAAAAAAAAAAAAAAAGGATAATGATACCCAGATATCCAGCTGGGGTCCCTCGTACTGCTGGCCTTCAAAGACTTCTGGGGCTGCATAGGGGGGGCTCCCACACCACGTTGTCAGAGGTTCACCACTCTTATAGAAATTCCCAAAGCCAAAATCTGTGGAGAAATCAAGGGGGGGGAAAAAAGTCACTCCGGCCTCCAGTTGCACCACGAAGAATAATTACGTGCACTCCGATTCCTGAAAGGCTCTATATCCCAAATCCTTCCCTCGGGGCTCCCACTGAAAATCCTGGGATGCTGCACGTCCTGCACTGCTGTTCTCATGACAACTGGGGAATTACCAAGACACTGAGAAACTTCACAACCTGTAAACTTGCACCAGTTTGCTAAACCCAAGTTTATAAACAACTACAGTTAAAATTCAACAAACTGACGGTCACACAGACAAACGAGCTTATTTACTGGCCAGGAGATATATTGAGAGCTAGCACTGGATCTGAGACTTCCTGGGCTTTCCTGAGGTGCTCTCTAAGCCTTGAACACACAACAAAATTTTGACAACAAAAGCATCAACTTCGGAGCCGGGAGGAGGGAACTCTGCCAAAAGCAACAAGCTTGGGAAAACACAGGGACTTTTGCTGGGAAGGACACGGCTACTGGGACTGTCTAGCACTGAAACTGCCATCCCACAGCTGAACAGTTCTTTAAAACGCTCCTTTTTACGGCACAATAAAATATGTGGGTCCCTGGGGGCTAATATTAGTCACCATTTCTAATAACCCGGCAGTGAAAAAGCAGGATGACAGCCACCAGTGCTCAGACAGTCTGCTGGTTCTCCCCTTTCACCAGGGCAGTGCTGAGTGCTGGGGGGGACTGGAGCCATGCTGTGAAAGTCAGCAGTGGTGACAAACAGCAATCAGGCTGCTGATTTAGTAGCCCCAGCTCTGAATAGCTCAGAGGTCTGTTAATGCTGCTCAGCAGACAGCAAACCCGACAGCACTGTGGTTGCACAGGGGCAGGCTCTGCTCACACTTCATCTGCTCCCATTTGCCCAGTTTGGGGTGCTCAGAGGAAAGATTTGGTTCCCTGGGAATCAAAGCAATAGAGAGGCATTGAAGGAAAACTTACCAGGCTTAAAGTTAACCTGGAGTTGTTTTAGAGCAGCAACATGGGCACTGAACCTGACTGTTGACACTGAGCAAAACTGAGTTATTCCTGCTGCAACTTCAGCTGTGACAACAACAAAATCTTCTGTCCCAAAGCCCCCCAATCGCTGTGTGTGTCACTGCCTTTTTCCCCCTCCCATCACAGCCAGACTTTTGTTGTGAATTATTTTTTTTTTCTTATTATTCTCTTTGAGAAGACTTTTCTCCACACATAATTGGCTTGGCAACCTTGACAATAACTTCAGGAGACACGAAGCAATTTCTTCCCTCAGAAGCATTTTGCCATTCCGTGTAGGTGTCATTAAATCTGATTTCTCCCTTCACTTATCTCGGATTTGTCAAGATTTTCAACATCCTCTTAAGAACTTGCAGATAAATATCAGGCTTTATCTCTGAACTGCAGCTCTTACTCAGGTGCCACCCTCATAAATCTTCGTATCAGATTCACGAGTACATGGATTTGTAAGCACAGCCAAAGAAAGCGTGACCTGCTCGGAAACACAAGGATTTCAAACCCCCAGGAAAGTGAAACCCTTGGCCTGTCCATGCTGGATTTCAAGTCAGCCCCTTTGGTGGGTGTGAGCACCTGGGAATCACTTCACATCAACAAATCTGAGCAGCCAAAAGAACAGAGTCTTTCAGCATGACTGACCAATGCAAGAGAAGCCTCAGGTGTGCGTTCCTATTATCTTTCCCTGACTAATTTCACAACACAGAATAGTTTACAGTGCGTGGTTACCAAAAGTACCTCAAGAACATCTTGGAACGGAAGGATTCGATCCCTGCCAGGCTCTTACCTTTGCTCCCTCTCCGAGCAGGAGAATTAACAGAACTTCCAGTGCCCAGGCAGTGCTCAACTGGGTGGAAGAGCAGCACTTGGCTGGCACCTGATGGTCTTGTGACAGCACAGACCACTGAGCTTTATTAGGAGAATTCATGAATGGAAGGGCCATAAACTGACAGCAGAAGGAGCAGCCCAGGATGAACTGTGTGAGCAGCAACACCACATGCTGGGGTCTGGGGCAGGGATGGGAAGGAGAAGTCACCCAGGACAGAATTCCTCACCAGTCTGCGTGCCTGGGGCAGGAGTGTTGTCCCATACACCTGGAAAGTGGTTCCTTCCCTCTGTCTTTGACCTGCAGCTCTAAAACCTCAATTTCTTCCCTTTTCCATGACCAGTTAAACACCAGTGGCCTTCAGTCATGAACTTCTGCTGAACAAACCACGTGCATTGACAACACAAAACCCAGGAAGAGGCAGAAACCTACTGACTCACACTGGACTTAAAAACACTGTTCTGTATTTCAGCAGCTGGCTCTTATCTTTAAAATTATATTCCATTGTTGGACAAAGTAATTCCCTGGAAGATCACCATTATTTGTTAGGGTACATAACATTATAGTCACCTTTTTTTGTTTCTATTATGCTTTTCACAGTTGTGCCTTCAAATGACGTGAAACCATTTCTAGAGGACTCCAGAGAACTGACAGCAACCAGGAAAACCATTCCAAAGAAAAAAGTTCAGGATTTAGACAGGATGCTGGATGCTTGGTCCGTGGGGCTTCCTCAATTTTTAATTACTCCACCATCAGTCTAGTTGTCCCACTTTTTGGAGTGTTAGAATGGCCAGGATTCAATTAAGCACAAGACAATCACTCCACCTCTCATCCTCTCTCTTCCACCCTGTTTCTACTTTGCAGTTGCTGATCTGCCACAATCACTGTGGATCCGAGGTGGCCATTTTTAACCTAAGAACACTGTTCAGATTTTTTCATTCCAGAGAAACATTACTGGTGTTTGAGGGGAAAATGTGCCAGCCCTCAAAAAAAAAAAAAAAACACCAAAAAACCAAAAACCAACAACAACAACAAAAAAAACCAACCCCAAAAACATATGCCAGCACAGAATTCTGAAAGGACTGAAATTGGACTCATTACCAGAGGACTGAGATTATATAATGGGGTGATCTTCTTAACGTTTGCCTGAATCTGCACGTTAAAAAAATCCCATCATTTGCAGCATTGTGTCGAGTTGAATAAACTCTGTGTTTGTGCAATCTGCAAATATTGGCTCTGCACAGTTGCGGTATTTGGTTTCTCAATCCCATTATTACCCCCTCCAGGATAACCTCGAATTTGGAAGGTATAATTTTTCGAAACGCGCATCATCCCCATGGAATCTGTTTTCCCGGTAAAAATGGAAACGGCCCCGAGGTTTCGGCCCCGTTTGCAACCTGAGAAACAGGAGCTCCCTGCCAGGGCCACTGCAGCTTGTGCCGTGCATCCCTCCAGCAGGACCAGGGAGCCCCTCGTTTGTCCCTCCTCGGTCCTTCCGAGGGGATCCGGCCTCGGGAGCTGTAATTAATCCATTCTCCTGCAATCACCAGCACAGCTCAATGTGCCCGGGCTGCAGGGAGCCACAGGCAGCCTTTGTTGGAGCAGTAATGTGAGCCACGGAGATAATGGGGAGAGAGGTGCTGATAAAGGCAAGGTATGAGCGAGTCAGACACAAACCTGACCCACTTCACGGCCTGAATGCTGAGCAGCCACTTCTGACGTCAATGCATATTTTACTGTCCACCAGCAAGACAAACCAGCACTACAACCTGCTTCAAAATAACAGTCTCTGCTACCTGGGCTGCTCCAAACACGGAGCCTTGGCCACCAGCACGGCACTGGAGCTCTGCAGGCATCTCCCAGGCATCCCAGCCTGGCAGCTTGGCAGGGCTGGGGGCACACGGAGGGCAGCTCCCAGTGTCCCATTCTGTAGCTCCCTGTGTCCCATCCTGCATTCCATCCTCACAAATGCACAGGGTTTTTCTCTGCACAGACCAGGAGCACGTTGTGTCCCCGTGAGAGCACGGTGTTATCAGTGAGCAGGAACCCAAATCAGTCCCTAAGATCCCCTCAAAAACCAGCCAAAGGTAAAGGTGACATGACCAATCCAGGAACTTTGGGGAGAACCATTTCCACGTCAAACCTGGAGTGCATTCCTCACCTGCAGCCTTCACTCTATCTCATTAATACCTTCACTTTTTGCTACTTAGGCTAAACTTGAGGTTTGAAGGTTTTGCTCCCAGCCACCTCACATACCTTCTAGAAAATGAGTCCATCAAAGCTCCCCCCTCGAGTGTTTTACACATCCTCCACTTCCTGGCTAATTACTAAGACTGAACAGAAAGATCCTATGAATGCTATCCATCCCATGCCTTTTAGAGCAACATTAACACTATTAAATTGCAGCTCAGCCTCCTGTTTTAATCAAAGGTGGCTCACCCAGCTCACACTTTTAGGAGCATTTATTTTTGAAGCTTATTCTCCCAGCAGCTGAAATACAGAGGTAACTTTATGCACTTTTCCGTATTTGACTAAAAAATGTTGTGTCCTCCAAGAGTAAAAGCTTCCATAAAAGTCTCAGAAGCACCAGAATGAATCAAGAGGACCCCTGGAAGTCAGGAAGAGCCTGGAATGGTCAGGAGTACCCCCATGGGGATTTTTTAGCTGCTTGGAGTGATCAGGAAGAGCCTCATGCTTAGTGCTGGAACCCTGTGTAAACACTGACAGTGCAGAGCTTTATCAAAGTAATTCATCAGTTACTGTGCCATTTTTCAATTCCTAGATTAATTCAAATTAGAGCCTAATTCCAGCTATCAGAGCTGGGATCCTGGCTGCCCTCTGTTCTTCCACACTTTGATAAATGGGCCACGAAGAGTATGAACGACTGGAAGAGAGTGTTCTCAGGGCTCTGCACGGCACCAGATAACTCCAAAATCACAGATAAACATTCTGGGGAGTTCATCATTTATCTCCTTCAGAGAGAAAAACAAAACGACTGACTCAGCGCAAATCACTACAAAGTTTCCAAGCAGTCTTAACTTTCCTCCTTTATCACTCAAGCAAACCTGATAAAGCTCGACAGAGACACATGGAAGAACCAGTGCCAGCTAATGGGCTCATTTGCATACAGACCACCTGTAATTAACTTTCTGTAATAGAGAAGTAGAGCAGGAGAGCAGCCGAGGCAGGAAAGAGCAGCAGCAGCTGATGGAATCTCATAACTACCATTTATCAGTGCTTTTATTTGAGTCCCTGGAGAACCTGAGCACTGAAATTCTCTGTGCCTGAGCAGTTCATGGCTCTAACCTTGCTTTGGTTAACGGGTCTCCCGAGATGCCTTTGAAGGAGTGTTTTTGTGAGCCCGTGTCGTGTTCGGGGGGGGGGCAGGAATTCACGTCCCTGCAGCACTGAGGACATCCAGGAAAGGAATAACTGGATACAGCACGGATGAGAGCCCTGAGGAGCTCTGAAAAACTGTGCCAGGCTGAACAGAACAACCTACAGAGCAGCACAGTGATGGGGAGAGAAATCAGGAGGCAAAGCGTGGTGGTGGGAATGGGGAGAAGGCGAGGAAAGCTCAGACGAACAATAGCACAAAAATTCCCTCCCATTTAGTTCCATTACTCATAGCAAGTGGGTGACTTGCAGCCCTTAGACACAGCATTTACTGAAGGCATAAATTGTCCTGGTAAATAAATTGTCTGTCAGCCATAAATCTCCAGGTGCTCCTGGAGATGAATGCAGGGATGGAATCAGAAATGAGAAAAGGAGAAATGCCCCACAAACAGCAGCGGTGCTGCTGAACCCACTGGGTTAAAGCTCAAGGATGTACCAAAACCCTTTCACCATTTCAGAATTGCCAGGAAGGGTAAAATAATGCAGCAATGATCAGAAATGTTTTATCACTTTACCCTTCTCAGCCTGACTGGCTGTGGAGTCACAGCTCCTTTTCAGGACAAGCAAACTCACTCCTTCCCAAAGCAGCTCCTCACAGCTCTCACCTCCCCTCCCTGCTCCCATACTAGTGATGTCTGAAGTTCAACAGTCCCCCAAATCAAGATATTACCTACTTTTCCCAAGTCCTGCCGGGCTAAAATCAGTATGGAAGGATTCATGGAATTGTAATGAAAATGATTTCCATCGCTAGCAACATCTGCCGCCTCTAAATTTATAATTAAAATGAAATCATGCATGCAAAAAGGGGAAAAAAAAATCAATAAGTTTCCATTTTGAGGTTTTTTTCCCCCCAATGTTGAAAGAAGTTATTTGATTAACTCTGTTTTAACCTGAACATCTGGCAGCATCAGAGACGTGTCACGGCACCCACAAAAAGCGTCTGTAACTCTAAAAAAAAATTGTTTCTTTTTTGTTTTTGTTTTTTTTTCTTGAAAGCGTAACAGGGATAATCCAGGAAACAAATCCAGGAAACATTTGGACCACAAAGTGCAAAACTATGACACGTTATCACCAATTTTCTGTGCCCCGAGCACAGCAGGACCTCCTGGGCAGCACCAACCCAGGGACTGGGACGGCCCTAACAAAAGCAAGGTGTTACTGGACCTCCCCTGCACTGGGAGTACCTGCTATTTTGATGTTCATGTTGTTGTCCAGCAGGAGGTTCTCAGCCTTCAGGTCCCTGTGCACGATCTTCCTGCCATGGCAATACTCCACCGCCGACAGGATCTGCCAGAACTTGCGCCGGGCCTCGGACTCGCTCAGGCGGCCATGGCTGGCCAGGTAATCTGGGGAGATAAGCCAGGCTTAAAGTGGGCTGGACAGCCAGGAACGGCCCTGGAAACAAGGGGTTCCCCCGGAACAAACAGCACTCAGAAGGTGTCTCAGCCAAACCCTTTGAACTCCCGCCCTGCCCTCGGAAAGAATGGGAAACACCCTCCCCAACAACAGGGGAAAGAGAAAAAACAACAAATAAGAGTAAGAAAAAGTTGATGCGTCACGGAACTCTGCTCTGCTCCTTCTTTCAGAGCTGCCTGAGCAGTATTTTCACAGAGCACAACTATTCATGGGGAGTGCTTGGAATAAATTGCTTCACCCACCACGAGGTACTTCAGGCTTTGGGCTGCTCAGTTCCCGCGGGCTCCACACCACACTTCTCCCTCTGAAGCCTCAGCAGAGGCTGCACAGTGGCTGAAAGTATTTATTTTTTGTTTTCTGGAAATAAAACAAGTACCCATGGAGTGCCCATCCTGACCTCCCTCTTGTCTTCCTTGCGTCACAGGCAGAAAAGAACATTTTGTTTTCATATTTGATTACGTTGTAAAAACCAACGTGAGCCCTGAAAGCAACAGCTCCATTTATGCTCAGGAACAAAAACAAGGGGAGCAGCAGCTGGGTGAGTCTTGACAGAAAGAGCTTCTGCAGCCAATTCTATTCTTTCTCTTAGGAGCACAAGAATCAAATGTTAGGATGGGTTTGGAATTGCCTTTGACATCCTACAAAGAATGGCCAAGAAGCAGCAAATGCATATGGATTTTATACCCACCAATTAATTGTATCTTCTAAGCCACTTGTGTGACATCAGTGATCCAAGCAGGATCATCTTGCCCAACACAATGCCAGACCTGGCTTTGTTAGCTTGTGTTTTAGGGGATTTTTAATTAAAATATTGTTTGGGGGCTTTGTAACTGTCTGCAATATTTTCACTTAAAACCTTTTTCTGCTTTCTTCAGGATAAAATCTGATCCCTGGAACCAGCAGGTCTGAAAACTCTGCTCAGAGCTTCTAACCTACCCAAGCCTTCAAACACTTTTCAGCTGGTTTAACTTGGCAAAGCACAAGAACAAACAAAAGCCTGGCAGTAAGGGGAGATCATAATATTTGCAAGCTAAATATCATTCAGTCACAGAGTGACTGACAAATCATATGATATCAAGGTGAAGTCAGATATCAAAGGCACAAACTAAATTACCCTGAGCACAAGCCAGCTCTTTAAGCTGTTAATCCATCATTTGTTAGCAATGCAGCAAACAAGTTAATGAATCCAAGCTGTCATTTTGCTTTTACGGCTCTGGCCTGTCAGGACTCATGTGAAGACCCCAAACCAAGTTGGCCCTCAGTGTTTCACCAGCTCTGAGTGGAACAGGCCATTTGTTCTGAAATCACCCAGAGAGGGAGAACCCAGCACATCCAACCAGGGCATGGGCCCCGTTTGTGCATTAACCAGTGTGCAAACAGGGCAGGCTGGCATTGGGATCCAGGCTCTGTGCCAGCCCCCGGGCACAGGAACCACTCCAGGACAGCTGAAACCTGCTGGAGACATCCAGAATGTGGGCACTGCTGGAATATGTGTGTGCAGAGCTCTGGGTTTTACTGGACATACCCCTCTTGCAAAGGCTGAAGCAGCAAAGCCACCTCTGCCAGGAAACCTCCACATTTCACCCCCTTGGGCAAATCTCAGCCTTGTGTCACCCTCTGCCTACACATTTCTATAGCAGGATTTGGATTTTTTTCATTTTACTATAATAAAACAGAAACCAGAAGACACTTTAGGTTCAGCTGGATCCACAGCAGGACTTCTGTCCCCAGCTCACTGTCCAGCCTTTTCAGCGGCCCAAAGTACAATTGTTTGCTGGACAATTGAAAGATTAAGGTGTATTTACTTCAAAACATGTGACTCAGACATTGCCCTGCAAACCCAGTGGTCAGTGCTTAAAGATGCAGTCCTTCATCTAGGTTTGTACCCGTGTTAAATTTGGAATGTTAAAGCTCTGTTACACACCAAAGTGAGCACAGTGATGGTTAATGAACATGATTAAGGGTCTGCAGAGCTCAGAGAGCAGTGGGGGCTCAGCCTGGAGAAGACAAAGGTGCAGAGGGAAATCTCATTTTGTGTATAAACACTGAACAGGAGGGAGGTGGCAAAGCCAGGCTCCTCTCAGCTCAAGTGCCCAGCAAAAGGACAAAAGGCAGTGGAAACCAACTGAAACACAAGAAATCCAGTTTAAACCTAAGGGTTCTTTTCTCTGCAGGTGGCCAAAACGTTGGAACAGGATGGCTTGAGGCTGTAGCCCCCATCCAGGGTCCTGAGCAATGAGCTGCAGAGCTGGACAGTCATTCCCTACAAATCCCTTCCAACCTTCTGTGAGCTGGGTTCAGGTTCAGGCAGTCAAGACATCCCTCACCCAGTTCAAGCTCAGTAAGGAACAAATAATCCCTTCTCAGGGGATTTCCCTGTATTTCCAATCTTATGAATGCAGCAATCAGTGGCTGGAATTTCAGTGGAGGAATCTACATTAAATGTTATAAAGAATCTTTATCATTAAAAAAAAAAATAAATCTCAGATCCTGCCTGGCTCTGTTGAGGGAGGTTTTTGTGCTGAAATGGTCCAAAAACCATCAGAGACTGTGTTCTGTTCTTGGGTACTGCAGTGTCACCAGGACTAGTTATGAAGGGAACCTCACCCTCGGTAAAATTTAGTTTGAGGACAAAAGAACACGACTCGGGCTTCCCCAGCGAGCAGGACAAAACCCAGTGCAGAATTTAGGTCACTTTGGTTAATCTGTGCATCAGTCACTGCAAGTTTGCAAGAGAAGCGCTGGGAAGAGTGTCAATGGAACTGTTGCTTTTTCTTCTGCACACCCAGAGCACACTTTGCATGGTTACTGTACATATTTAATGTAGGAGTGTTTGCACGTCTGGCTGCTGTTTTGAGTGAGAAGTGTTTTCCCAAATATTTACTCTCTAGATCTGTAAAGTCTTGAGGACAAGTGAAACCTTTTTCATTCGTGTGCTCTGCCAAGTTAAAAAAGATATCTTTAAAAGCCATCCAAAAGGTGACAGGATTCGAAGGGCTGGGGCTGAACACATTATTCACTGCAGTGACATCAACTGGGGAAAGCCATGGCTACACAAAACTGCTGCTGAGTGGGGAAAATTTCCCTGAAGCAGGTCAAAAACAACCCTGCCCATGAACTATCAGTCAGCACCACGAGGGGATGGTTTAGCAGAGCTGAAAAGACTCAATGAGGTTTAATACCAGGCTGTTTAACACCAAGCCTGACAGGGCATTAAAAGAACATTAACCAGCTACCAGCTCCTGACCCCCACACCTTGAAGAACACGTCACAGTGTCCTTAAAGCATCTTAATATAACAGTGGCAAAGACACCCACAGCAGAATATCCCATCCTCAATTCCAGGAGCCACTCTGAGAAATCACTCCAGTAAAGCAGAAAAAAAATTATGACTTCAGACAAAAATGTACAGAAATATTAAGTCTCCGACAGCAGACCCAGAAAGATCCTTAATTACCCAGTGCATTAAAATGTTGAAGATGAAAATATTCCCTTGCTTACCGAAAATTTCTCCATTTTTGGCAAATTCTGTCACAAGGTACAACATGCTTTTGGTCTCCATCACCTGCCGATGAAGAAATCACACATGAGTGCTTGTGGGAAGAGCAAGAAGCAAAAAAAAACCCACCAAAATGGATCCTTATTCTTCTGCTAAAGATCTGGAAGCTTTGCCTTGCACTTGGAGTCATCACCATCTTTCCAACTGCACAAGGTGTGCAAACAGCACAGTCAAAATATTGACCCAAAGGGAAAAATCCTCCAAAAATCATTTTGGATTTACCTTGAGCACAACACAACCATTTCAACACGTTTTGGGTCTCTTTCAACAACCTCAATAAAACAGTCCAGCACGAGCTGTTCATGGACAAGACCTTGGTGAATTTGGTCTTTGCATTTTATCTGAGACGAGACAACTCGAACTCCTGGTGGGAACCCAGCACAGTGATGGGCACGTGATAAAAGCAGCCAAGTGGGACAATTTGAAGGCTATTTTAAAAATAAACTCACCTGTCAAACGCATTTTTAACCAGCCAAAGCACTAACAGTGAAGGATTAAGCCTTCCATAGTCATCACCCCCCTCTTTAAATGATCTTCCTGATCTCCAGACTTAATTTAACTTTTCTCAGTCCCTCCTCTACCATTTTTGTGTGTTGCCATTCACTCAGAAGGAACTGTGGAAGACATTATTTATTTTATTTAACTCCTTAAAGGTCCCTCTCTGCTTGGCAGATCAACATTTTATAGATCAAATGCCAGTTCCTTTCACATAAAACAAAGTTAAATTGGGATCTTCATCTTCACCCAGAACTCCACCACCACAGGTCCAAGTCCTTGTGCTCGTTTTTCCTTTGGAGATGTTGTCAGATGACCTCAAATTCAGAGCTTTAGCACACCCAGATCTTTGTTGAGCCAGGTTTATTTGAAGCAAGGGTGTGTTATCTCTGTTTGTTAAACAGAGCCCCAACAGGGAGATCCTAAAGGGAGTATCTCAGGAAAGCATTAGAGGCAAGACTGAACTGGAGCAGAAATGCCAGCAGCCCCAAACATTTCACCATGTGCTGCAGGGACAGAAGATGAAACAGAAGAGAAACCACTACAAAACAAACCCATATTTTACTGTACAAACTACGGGCACTAATAAATAAATAAATAAATAAATAAATAAAAATCAGAATTAAAAAACCTTCAAAATCTTTCACTGAAGAGTTCATCCAGGAGCAAAAGAGATGGGGAGAAAGGGGAAAAGCCACCACTGCCCCCACCTGATAGAGCTTTATGATGTGTGGGTGATCCAGCATCTTCATTATCTGCACTTCCCTGTAGATCTTCTCCAGATTCACAGCATCCAGCTGAGACTTGTCAATGATTTTTATTGCCACCTGCAGACAAACAGCAAGGGTGAGATGAAAACTCCCCAACGTTTTCCTCATTAGTTTTGCCCTCATTGTACAGGGGGGCAATGCAATGACCCCAGATGACTGGAGGGTTTCTTGGAGTTCAGAATTTCCAATCCCACACTAAAAAATACAGACTGGCAGCATTAAATATGTCAGAAAAAGCAGGTTTTACATGGGATGGAAGACACAGAAGCCAGTGCTCCAGGTGCTCTTGTATCAACAGCAGGTAGGAACAGCTGACAGGGACAAAACCCCTCTTTAAAAGCCTCTTGGTGTCCACTGCTGGAGTCCATTTGAATCCCTCAAATGCAAAGTGATATTTTAAAGTGAGAAAAACTGCTGGCTCAACCCAAATCATCAAAACATGGCGGTGGATCCACGTGGTTTCAACTGTGACATGTTTAATTGTTAATTAATATGCAACTACAAAAGGACATCTGCAGTTTATCCCTTCAGAGAAAAAAAAAAAACAAACAACCCAACTCTACAGATCTATTTATCAGTCAAACCTTGGAAAGACATCTCAGTTAGTTCACAAAACACATCTGGGTCCTACTGACCTTGGTTTTAACTACCACCTGCAAAGGGAAGGTGACTACACGTGTTCAGGAAGTCTCAAACAGAAGGCACTCAGAAAATTTGAACCAAGGAGAAAATCTGAACCCAAGGAGAAAATCTGAACCCAAGGAGAAAATCTGAACCCAAGGAGAAAATCTGAACCCAAGGAGAAAATCTGAACCCAAGGAGAAAATTTGAACCCAAGGAGAAAATTTGAACCCAAGGAGAAAGCAAAAACGTTGCCACTCTAAAAACCATGCAAAGGATAAAAATACTAAAGAGTGCTGAATGTATAAATGGTGTTTATTCACCCTGAATATCACACTATTAATGCTGAAGCAGGAGCAAACAATGTAAGTCACACAAATGCTCCCAATTATAACAGCATTTCACAAACTATTGAACATGGGAGACAGCTGCTGAGCAGGAGACAAAATCCACAGGAGGTGAACCTCATTATCTCCAGTAACACTGATTAGGGACCCACCTGAATTCACAATTAACTATTTATTGACTTCATTTCACTCTGCTTTTGCTCCACAACCTCTTTAGAAGTCCCTTGTCTCCCTCATCCAACAGGAAAATAAGATTCTGCTATGAGTGATTAAATGGTAATCAGGGAAAATCGGGTTGTGAGATGCAGGAGGCTCTTTTGCAGAGCTGAAGCAGAACAAGACTCATCTAAAACAGACAAAAAACATTTTCAAAAGGCAGCTGTGGGATTTTCTTTTTAAACAATGTCTAAAACTTTTAAGCAATTTTTAAAAATAACGTAGAACTCCCTAAAACAATTTTATCAAGAAACAATAAACATTTATAAGAATGTTGTCATATGCAGCCATTAAAAACAAGCAAAAAAGGCCACATGCTACAAATTTTTCACCATTAATTGCACAGCCTCTATTCTTCATCACATGGAGCTGAGAAACACATGGAACAGTGATGCTCAAGGTGGTAAATCCTAAAAAAAAAATAAATCACAAGTCTCCCTTTGGAAGTTTCTGCCTTTGGACTACGAGGACAAAACCCAGGCAAATCAAGCACGTTGATCCTGCTCCTCTTTGTTACCCCCCATTCCAGTCCTATTCCTTCCAGCTCCACTTGGGGTTTGCATAAAAATAAAGTGAAGCCACTTTGTCATTCAGACATTCTGCCCTGATGCCACGAGGCAGCAGAGGATGCAAATAATCATTCCTGCAGCTTTAGGGGGAAAAAAAATCACCACCACAACCCCCTCCACACACCTTTCAGCCTCCCCGGCCCAATTTAAGATCACGCCTCATAAAAGGACTTCTGGTTACTGCTGATTTTTTGCAGGCACCAGTTCTGAGCCTGAGGAGAAATCGCTTCCCTAGAAAGCTCCAGAGTGTCAGAGCAACCGCAGCAAAGCCACTGAACCCCGGATATCAGGAAATATTTATTAAAACAAGCCCTGTGTCACATCTCTGCCCTTCCTCTAACTCATTTTACCCCCTCCCTCTGCGCTCAGCCAGAGACAGGAGCTGCTTTCTGCTTCATCCTCCTCATCTCTGCATTTCACACCCGTTATTTGGGGTTTCAGAGGGCTGGAACCTGCTGTTTCTCCCTTACAAACCAAAGAAAAGGTTCCTCTGGAGCAGTGTGCCATTCCTGTCACACGGTGGTAACACACCTTCCACACCAGGAACAAGGGATGTCCAGTCTGGGAGATGAAAAGCTCCAAAAATCTCCAGCATTTTACCCTGAACTCTGCACTTCCCACCTTCCAACAGCAACAGTTTTTAAACTTTGGTTTCCCAGATATTAAAAAAAAAAAAAAAAAGTATCCACTTCCCTAGAAAACCCAAGGTAACTCATTTGTCCTTCTTCCCTTTTAAAGATTAAGTACTTCCAACTCCACTCCAGTTCCTCAATAACAAGTGCCCACTGCAGTTTTATGTTTTCCGAGGTTAATGATGCTCTGCAACCATATAATGTCAGTTCCTAAGAAGTGAGCAATTTCATATAAATAAAAATAGAAGTAAGCAATTTCATACAAATACAAATATAAGTATGCAATTTCATATAAATAAAAATAGAAGTAAGCAATTTCATATAAATAAAAATATAATTATGCAATTTCATATAAATAAAAAAGGGCCTCTTTTTTTTTTTTGTCTTTACACGGTTAAAATCCCTGAGCAGCTCTTATTTCCTGAGCAACCACCAGTAAAATGTGATTAGAGGGAAGCAGCGTTGAAAAAAAGAATAATAAAGAAAGAATGGGTGATATAAGTTTGGGAAGCATGGCCACAGATCCTGCTGTAACCTCCACTGCACTTTCTGGCCAAGAGCAGTGAATCATGTTCCAGTGTTTCCTACTTTCTTCCTTTTCCAGAAGTTTCCTATCCCATCTCCTCGCTCAAAATAAAACAGCTCTCCAAGGCTGCTGAAAGACTGAAACCAAAACCTTCTTCAGGGAAAACAAGTCTTCAGGGCACACAGTCACTGGGAGCAAAATGGCTCCAGAAAAACCCTCTTCCAAGAGTTTGGAAACGTTTCCTTCCCTCTCCCCAAAGCCACAAATAAAAACTGAGTGTAGATGTAGAACAGGTCACAGAAGGTTAATGCACAAAGTGACCTCCTGTTGGTCCATCCACACAGACCTCCCCAAAATTAAGGTTAATGCACAAAGTGACCTCCTGTTGTCCATCCACACAGACCTCCCCAAAATTATTACCACTGCCATGTGTCCAGGGCTTGGAGGAAAACTGCCACAGGAATGTTTTTCACCCAGACATCACCAGATAATCCTGACAGCACCGTAAAATGTTCTTTATTAACACAGCTAACACTGAACTCCTTGAGAAATCACATTATATGTTGGAAAACAAAGTACTGGAGCACCATGGAATGAGCCAGTGCCTCAGAAAACTACTTGCTACCTCTGTGATCATGTTAAAAGGGGAATTTTGTGCTGCTGCATCCGTAATCTGTCCAAAATTCCCAAACAGGACTTCTGGAGCTGCATCAGTCAGTCGACAGCCACCACCAATGGATCCATAAAGGTGTGTGTTGTGTAACCACAGGTACTTGAACCAACCCTAAGCACAGCTCTCTGCTAATTAGGAATATCTTACTGGAGCTACAAACTAAGCAAGAACAAACTATATCTCAAGTTTAAACAGTTTTTTGGTTTAAAAAAATCCCACCCCACTGCATCAAACCATGATTTGTCTCATGATGTGGAGTTACTTGGGACCATTCAGAGGGATTTTTAACGCAGTAAAAACCTACCTGAAGGAGAAAAAAATTGCTTTTTGCAGCCCTTGTGCAATTCTCAGTGTGCATATTATATATGTGCACATTATATATGTGCATCTCCTATAGGAGAAGCAGCACAGGAGCAGCTGCCACCTCTTCTTCCACACTCAAATGCAGATTAAACATCTCAAGTCTATTCTGCATCTTTTAACTTTCACACATCCTCTGCCGGGGCCAGAGAGGATTTAGAGAGAAGAACCACTTGGAAATGCTTAAAAATCCAGCACCATCTTTCATAATGATGTGAGGAGGAACAGAGCATTCAGCAGCTCACTCGTGTCCATGAGCTCAGCTGGGTCACGATGACAGGAAAAGGGATGTAATTCTTAGAGGTGGAGAAGCTCCTTCAAGCCATGGAACAGTTTCCTATCTGAAAGAGTGTGTTTTGTTCCTAAATACACAGCTTGCCAACAGCTACTAGCAACAGCTAGAAACAAACAACAGAAAAACCCCGGCCAAATATCAATATATAATATTAGCACAAACTTCTTCTGACAAGGAAAACAAAAGGGGGTTCCCGTTCCTTCCCTTCCCCCATCACCAGTTTGTGCTGCTCAAAGGGTCACATTCCAAAATATCTTTGCAACTTTCGTGATTCCCACTAATTTGTAAAATATTAGGGATAGCACATATTTCCTTCCCTCTTTTACTAGACTGGAGTTTGCTCAATCCTCATCTGACATCTGGGAATTGAAGCTGCCAAGAAGTGAAGATGAAATGATTGTCAAAGAAGATGAAAGTTCTTCTGCTCTTCAGCTACTCCAGCTTTCAGTTTTCATTGTTTGCGTGTTATTCATTTAATTCTTCAAAGAAAAAAAAAAACAAGGCAAAACCCAAACACTCCAAACAAAAAATCAAACCACAATACAACTTTTCTCCCCCCAAATTCACATCCAAACTGTCCCTGCCTGTGTCCCACCCAAGCACACCTGATCAGCTAAACTGCTACCACAGTTCCTATCAGGAGCTGGGTTTATTTTTTTAATTTTTATTTTGCCAGAGAAAAATACAAAGTCCCTGTAACCCAGCAGGCAGTTGGAGGCAGAGTGTGATCCACAGGGACATAAAGAACTTTATTTTCACCTGGGGAGCAACGCCCAGTGTCCCTCTGGAGGTGATTAACCCTTGGGGGGCGTTGGTTACAGATTTTTGGGGGTGGGTGGGGAACACGACTCTCCCTCTCTCACAGCCTATTCACAAAGACCTGCCTTCCTCCTGAAAGTGCTTTTTCCAAGCAGCACCTTCACCTATTCCAAGAGCTTTTTCACTATTTCACACATCATCCTGTTTCACCAGGAACAAATCTCGGTCTTCTTCAACTTTCTGCTCCCAGTTACTTCTGTTCTCTTTTCCTTTCTCCTTCCGAGGACCGAGGGGGGAAAAGAAATAAAAATCTGTTGCTTATTTCCACGCCTCATTAACAGAAGTTACCCTGGGATCACAGGGTTTCTGGGCAAGAGGATAAATGAGCGTGGCAGGAAAGCACGTGCCCTCCACTTCACTGGCAACAAACACTCCAACAAGCAAAGCAAAGGTCGAGGGCAGCCCTGGCCCCCCTTTGGGGCACCCTGCATGGACTGGCAGGAAAAAGAGTCAGGCACCACCCCTATTCCCACAAATCCCCCCCATTTTCCTTAACTTTCACACTTCTCTTTGACTGATTGTGCAATTTTAGGGCTGCGGGAATGCGGGATTGACGACGAGGTTTCTGACTTTGCACACACCAGCTACCACCCCTGTCTGCTCTCGAGCCATTCTCACCTGCACTCTGCCATTCTATGTTCCCATTGTAGGTTTTCCGTAAAAAGGATGGATTGCACGTCATCTGTGAGCGCTGAAATTCAAGGCAATAAGATCCCATCCTTTCTAATTTGGTGGTTATTGGCTGGGCAGAGTTGTGTAAAAACAAAAAAGCAAATATTTTATAGGTCGAACCCACACGAAATACTGTTTCAAAATACTGATGCTAAAAGAGCCCAACGACAAAGAGGTTCTGAATGTAAAGGGTTTCAAATGGGGAGGTTCAGGAGAAAGTCAGGCAAGGAAATAGTCCTTTAAAACAGCTTTTCTGAGCAAGTCTCAGCAGCAACGCAGCACAGACCTTCCTGCAGCGGAACACAGGCACAGCCTTTCTAAAAAACTGAGTATTCTGCCCCTGGAATTTTATTACAGGCACAGAGAAATCAGCAACTCAAGAAATTTAAGCAATAGCTCAGAACAAGCTTGAAATACGACCTGCCTTCCATCTGGAGACATGAACAAGCAGGACTTCCACTTTGTGTGCCCAGTGATCTAACAATCAGATGAGGTGCTCCAAACTGGAAGTGCTTATTCCAAATACTATTTGGCTGGAATTTATTTCCTCTGACATCACCAGAAGTAATCTTAATAGGGTTCCCCTTCCTCAAAGGCCATGTAAGTACTTCCAGCAACTAACTCAGCAATTAAATTCCAGATAAACACTCCTGCATCTCTTGCTGCAGAAACATGATGCAGCTGCACTAAAAAAAAAATAAAAATAATTAAAAAAAAAATCAAAGACCTTGACACAAACCTCCAACACAGGCAAATCTGCTGTAAAAATCACACAGAAGGTAAAGAGGCTTCAGACTGGACAGAAAAGTTGGTTTTAAAAAAAAAAAATATCATTATTATGTATTAGAATGGACTGGAATTCAGCAATTTCTTAGGACATGGGTGAAATAAAAATCATAGCAGAGTTGAGAAGCTGCTGAGCTCTAAGTTTTCTGTAACCTTTGTTATTTTGAACAATGCTAAACAAACATACTTTGTAAAAGTACAATACAAATAAAGATTAAAGTTCTCACCCCCCATCACAGAGTCTGCCAAAGAAGAGCAAGTGACAACTTAATATCTTCAAGTGAAGCCTTTACAAGTTTGGCATCTGGCAACAAACTTGGGAAGGGAACACTAACACTGCCAGGGCTTTGCTTGGCTCTTCAGGAACAGCAAGGAAGGGCTTAAAAACAACTGAGTCTGTTATGAACTTGAGAAATAAGAAAAATCGCTGTTAACCCCTGGGATGCAAAGCTCATCTAGCCCTGTGTGGCCAGAGCAGTGTGAGCACCACGGGTTTGCTTCCCTTAACTGAGCATTACCCCATTCCTGCAAGGAATGACTTTGCCACACGAGCCCAGGGCGCTGAATAAACTGCAGGTCTGTTCAGTTTTCACTTTGTACTTCAGGAAACATTTTAATGACTTTTGTCAGGCACAGAGCAGCACGGCAACCTCTTCTTCAGCAAACAATGAAAGCAGCCAGAACACAGGCTTACAAAAACCTCACCTCTAGGTGTAGTGACTAAAACTACCTAAGAGCAACATATAGGAGAAAGCTGATCTTTCAGAGCCATTACTCTCACCAGACACCTTTTATTTTTTTCCCCTTTTAAAGTGAACACGACCACATCTTATCCACCCAGACTGACAATCATTTTTGTTGTAGGTAAAGCACAAGGTATTAACAATAATCACCGGGTAATACACGGGGGCGGTTAAACAAAGAGGCTAAAAATGCTTGAATTTGGTTAACTTGCAGGATGCTGGACGGAAGGATTCAGGACACGCACAAGTTCCTCTGCTGGAACCGATAACCCAGGGAGGGAGAAGCTCTGCTCATCTGCAAGCACCGGCCGGGTCAGGACACCGGGACAGATCCAGGGCATGACAGCGGGCACGACACAAGGTTTGAACCTTCCCTGCTCACAGGGAGAGCTCCCCAACTCACCCAGCAGCCGCCTGCCCCGCTCACCCCGAGGATGCTCGGGGTCGGGAGGGTGCCATCCTCGGGGGTGACATCCTTGGGGTGACATCCCCGAGCACTCGCCCGCGGCCTGAGCCACAGGGGCTGGGAGGAGGCGTTATCCTGCCCTTCCCGGGCAAGATGAAAGCAGGAAAAACCAACCCGGCTGCTGCTGCAATAAAATAAAATATCCCCTTCGCCGCGGGAGGTGCCGGAAGGAGGGACAAAAGCGGGCGAGGGGCGCGCAAGGGAATACCCGGCTCCGGGGGCGGGTACCCCCATTCCGGGGCCGGGTCCATCCCCGGAGGGGTACCCCCAACCTAGGGCTGGGTACCCCCAGTGCGGGGCTGGCTCCATCCCCGGAGGAGTACCCTCATCCCGGGGGAACACCCCCATCCTGGGGCTGGGTACCCCCAATCCGGTGCTGGCTCCATCCCCGGGGCAGGGTACCCCCATCCCTGGTGGGGTACCCCCATCCCCGCGGCCAGGTCCATCCCCGGGGGGTACCCCCATCCCTGGTGGGGTACCCCCATCCCGGAGCCAGCGCCACCCCCGGAGGGGGTCCCCCCATCCCGGAGCCGGGTCCCCCCATCCCTGGTGGGGTCCCCCCATCCCCGCGGCCAGGTCCATCCCCGGGGGGTACCCCCATCCTGCGGAGGGCACCCCCATCCCGGAGCCGGCTCCACCCCCGAGGGGGTCCCCCCATCCCGGAGCCGGGTCCCCCCATCCCGGGCGGGCTCCATGCCCGGGGCGGCAGCGGAGCGCGGCGATGCGCGGGGCGGGACGGGGGGTCGGGATGCGGCGGGAGCGACCTCACCTCGCTGCGGGTGATGCGGTGCCGCGCCAGCTTCACCACGGCGAAGTTGCCCTTGCCCAGCGTGCCCTCGATGTCGTAGAAGCCGACGCGGACAGGGCCGAGCCCGCGGGGCAGCAGCGCCGGGGGCCGCCGGGGCTCGGCCATCACCATGCTGGGCTCGGGGGGCGGCGGCGGCGGCGGCTCGGGCTGCTCGGGGTCGGTGCTCGGCGGCCCCGGGGCCGCGCCGCCCCCTCCGCCCGCTCCGCCCGTCCCTCCGCCGCCGACGGACCGACACACGGACACCGAGCGGCGTCACCGCGCGCGTCACCGCGGGCGGGGGCTCGCCATGGAAACCGGCGGCGCGCCCGCCCAGCGGGGCCGAGCCGGGAGCGGGGTGGGGACAGAGCCGGGAGAGGGGCCGGGGAGGGACGGGGGAGAGCACGGGGGATGGGGAGGGCGTGGGGAAGAGGACGGGATGGGGAGGGGAAGAGGATGGGATGGGGAGGGTATGGGGAAGAGGATGGGATGGGGAGGGGATGGGGAAGAGGACAGGGGATGGATAGGGGTAGGGGTGAGAAAGAGGATGGGGATAGGGATGGGGAAGGGGATAGGGAATGGAATGGGGATGGATGGGGTGGGGATGAGGATAGGGATGGGGACAGAGTTAGGGATGGAGACGGAGACAGGGATGGAGACAGGGACGAGGATGGGGACAGGGATAGAGGTGGGGATGGGGACAGGGACAAGGATGGAGACAGGAATGAGGATGGGGGGGGGGATGGAGGCAGAGACAGGGATGAGGCAGTGATGCTGAGGGTCGATGGGTCCCCCAGGTTCCCCCCACGGCTTGGTGTGGGCATCCCCTCCTGCTCTCCCAGCTTGGTAGGTGCCCCACAGTGTGGCTGTAGGAGGGGAGGGGTCTAACCCACCCCCTGCATTAATAAGATCCCATTATCCCGTTAATGAGATCCCAGCAGGCCCAGCTCGTTAGCAGGATGAGGGGGAATGGGTCAGCCCCAGGTGTCTCTCCAGCCCTAAATCAGGGGCTCCATGCACTGAGACCCTGAGCTGCTGCACCCACTTTGTGGGTCCTTAAGGCAGTTTCCTGACACAAATCCTCTCTCCCTGGCACTGAGCAGCTTTTCCAGTGGCCCCAGTTATTCCAGATCACAAAGATGCCTCTCGTTGGTACATCAGCCCCCCAAAATCCCAGTCAAGATCACACAGTGCTGAGTGCTGGGTGCAGCTCTGGGCCCCACCATTTCAGAAGGTGCTTGGGTGCATCCAGAGGAGGTTCCTGGAGCTGCTGATGGGGCTGGAGGAGGAGGGATGTCCTGTGAGGGGCAGCTGGGGCCTCTGCCTTCATCCAGCTTGGAGAAAAGGAGGCTGAGGGACAACCTCCTGGCTCTCTGGAGGGGATGTGGAGATGGAGGTGCTGAGCTCTTCTCCCTGGAATCCAACGACAGGACTTGTGGGAAGGGCTCAAAGCTGCGTCAGGGGACGTTCAAACTGGATATTGGGAAGCATTTCTTTACCAAGAGGGTGATCAAACTCTGGAACAGGCTTCCTGGAGAGTGGGTCAATGCCCCAGGCCTGTCAGGGTCTGACAGGCACTTGAATCATGCCCTAATGACACACTTTAACTTTTGTTTTTCCCTCTAGTGCTCAGGCAGTTGGACTAGATAACTTTTGCAGGTCCCTTCTATAACTAAACTATTCCTCTATTTATTTCCTGCACACCTGGAAAGACAGATTGGGAAGCTCTTTGACATGAAATGGTTAGAGGACCTTCAGGGTTGACAATGTGTGAAAAAAGTTAAGGCCTTTCATGCTAAATTCCCTTTCCAGTGCTAAGTCCACCAGGTCTGATTTGTCTGTGCACTTACACATGAGCTTGCTTTCATTCCAAAAATGCCATTTTAACTCTGCAGTAATCTTTGCTCTCTCAGTTCATGCCTGTCCCTCTCTGACCACTCTTATCCTCTGCCCCATCTCAGGCTGGAGGACTCACTTTGGGTACCAGGAATCACCCCTGGAATCTTTGCTCGGTTCCACTGACCAAACAAGGCACATCCAAACAAGAGGCCTCATGTCTTTTGGATCAGCAACACAGCCACAGACCTTTTCTGATGCAAACACAGCTCAAAACAGAGCGTGGCCACGAAAAGAACAAGTGGAAGAAAGCAAGGAACAAACTTGTGCCTCTTGCTTTCCCTTTTTTGTACAAGTTCTACACGTAAAGCTGTGTCATACTTGTGAAAGTTGGTTAAATTTGTTACGTGTCAAAGAGTGATGACTGTTCTGCAAAGGGAGCTGAAGTTCTCTGTGCAAAAATTAATGCCTGTTCACGAGATTCTCTAAGGAATGACATTTGGAGATGATGCTGCTGACTTGGGCTGCCATGGAGAACAACCAGAGTGCTCTCACTGTTCTATTTATCCCCTTCAGAAGTTCTGGCAATGACTAACCGATGACTTGAGTTAGTCAGACATCCACCCTTTTAAGTGATTGATAGGTACATGAGCAAGCTTTCCATAATCCTACTTGAATAGAAAGTGGTGTCATCCCAAAGTGCCACTTGTGACATTTCTCTGCTGTGGAGGGGCTTCATTTTTTTTTTACAGACTCGAGCTTGGTGCGTTAAAAGTAACTTTTTCTCCACTGTGCCAAATATTGCCTGATATTCATTCACAGTCGCTTTATTGTAAACCGGATTCTTTAGTATTAAAACATTTATTTGCTTCCTGGCCACTTCTGCAGTCACAAAAACATCCTTTGTCCAGGAGATTTTAGCGGCCACCGATGTCTCCTGCCGTGCTCCAAGGAAAAGGGATCCCAGCGCTCCTGGCAAAGCAGGGATGGAGCAGCTGGTGGAGGACAAACGTGGAGCGCACATGCCCTCGTGTGGTCACTGCGGCTCCAGGGCTCCAGAGGAGACGTCCAGCAGCAGAATTTCTAAAATCCCCTCACCTGGGCACACGCAGCTCGCTGCCCGAGCTCGGGGAGCCGGGACCAGACCAAAACACAGCCTCAGACGCCTCATCTCCTACCTCTGGCAAGCTTTGCCTCTCGTTTTCTGGTTTTCAACTCCTGAGATGCTCAGGATGTGCCTGATGCTTAATGCCTGCAAAAAAACCACAAAAAAACAAAAAAACAAAACACAAAAACAAACAAACAAAAAAAAACAAAAACAAAAAACAACAACAAACCACCCCAAAAAACCGAGGGAAGAGACCAAGAATATAAGAGTCAAAACGGATCGATTTTTTTCTTGATGAAAGAGCACTAATTACTGCATTGGAAACTCCAGGCATTCCAAGTGCCCAGCACTGCCTATTCTCCTATATAAGGATTTTGCTTTTCAGGAGAAATTGTTGCTAACTCGATGCCATTTTCAAAAGACCTGGAAGAATAATTCTTTTTTATTTTTTTTTTAAAGGAATTACTTCTTTCAGGGCTTCATCTTGCACCACGTTCTGGTGGAGGAACAGCAGGGGCTTGGCAGACACTGTGACACTGCAGATGTGCAGCACAGAGCCCTTGTGCACTGAAATATTTCAGTGTCTGCAGTAGAATCCTCTTCCTGCCTGTTTACTTTGGCAGAACAGGTTTGTGGCTACCCCTTCACTCAGTTCTGTTGTTGTGTCAGCCACGCATAAAACACCTTTTGCCAAACCTTTGTTTCCTGGTGGCTTGTGAAAATTGGTTTTTCTTCCTTTTCCTATTTATTTATTTCCATGCAAGGGAGGAGAACCCTGTCAAGAGCTAAAAATTCATTTTAGGTGCTTCAGAGAATTGTTCAGCAGCAAAACGTTGCTCTCTCCTGGAGCCAGAAACACCTGCAGGGCAAAAGGTGTGTCCTATTTGTGTTCCTGCTTGACAAGCTTTATGTTCTTGGTCTCCCCTCACTCCCTCCCTCCCAGGAGGATGAGGGAAAGAAGTGGAAAAGTGAGAAAATTCGTGGTTTGAGACAAAGGCAGTTTAATAGGTAAAGTAAAAGTTGCACACACAAGTAAAGCACACCAAGGTATTCATTCCCCACTCCCCATGTCCAGGAAAGCAGGGCTCCATCACACCTGACAGGCAACTTTTAGCACCTTTAAGACAACTGGGTCAGTTAAATAAATAAGGATTTGGGATTGTCCTGTAGTTTTTCAAGGCATATCTTTGGTACAAAAAAGTGAATCAAGATTATTAACAAGCCGTTCCCAGGGCAAAGGGGGCTTGATGCAAAGCAAAATATATACATTCTTTTCAGTCTGGATCGTTAAAAACCCACATTCTTTCAAAAAAAAAAAGAGAAGAATATGGGGACAATGCAAACCCAGGATAAACACCACCTATAACTGTTATTAAAACAAGTGCATAGACAGGGCAGGTGAACTCGTATCAGCATCCACTTTGTCATCTGAGTTCCAGGTTGTTTTTTTCCTGTCTGTTTGCTCAATATCCATAAATCTCATTGTCCACCCAGGTGGACTCCTGGCTCCTGCCCACACGGTCCCCACAGAGCTCGTAGATGTCGTTGGTGACAAAGCCACTCTCGGTCCCAAAGCCACTGCTGGGGGGTTTGGGCGCTGCCTCCTGCCCGTCCCTGCCCAGCTCCGAGTGCTCCCGGGCTCGGAAGGAGGAATTCTTGGTGCCAGGCCTGGTGCCAGCCAGATCTGCCTCCGACTGCTTGTTGATGACTTTGTAGATGTCCAGGCTGGGGCTGTTGGACAGCCAGGCATCCTCCTCCTTGGGGCTCGTGTCCATCCGCTCCTCCCTCCTGGGGAATGGGGGGGAAACAAAAACCCCTGTTATGGCACAAAGCAATACCACACCTCTTACAGTAATTTAATGCTGACCCTCGAGGAAAGCTGACCCTCAGAGCCCGGGCTCTGCATAAAACTGGGAATTATTTGTCATTCCGTGCTGCACACCTGGAACAGCCCCCTGGCATGACCCTGGAGATACTGAGGCAGCAAAACCCAACCCTGACGTTCCCAAAACCACAACCAGAGCTACTGTGCACACAGGGAAAGCAAGGAGAGGTTATTGATAAGTATTATTTGCTCCTTTTATCTCCACGTTTTTCACTTTTGAAGGGGAACATCTGATAATTCAAATCAATGATTCAAATCTTTAATAAGATGAAGTGCTACCATCATGAAAATCAACTGTTTACACTGTTCCCT